GAGGAGAGCAGAGTAATGTAGCCAATTCATAGAGGGGGATTATTAGGAGGCCATGATTGGTAAGGGCCAATGGGAAATTTGGCCAGGATGCCGGGGTTACACCCCTACTCTTTTCGAGAAACGCCCTGAGATTTTTAATGACCACAGAGAGTCAGGACCTCGGTTTTACGTCTCATCCGAAGGACGGCGCTTGTTTACAGTATAGCGTCCCCGTCACTATACTGGGGCATTAGGACCCACACAGACCGCAGGGTAAGCGCCCCCAACTAGCCCCACTAACACCTTTTCCAGAAATAAGGATGAAATATGTTTGATCATTAAGTCAGAAGGGACTGTGTGGAAGTCTTACAAATTTGCCTTCAAAATGTTTTGTGAGTTGTAAACACAAAATCCATCAGCATATTATGAATTTCCATTTTTTCTCTTTTTTTTCTGGAGTTTCCTACACGAGAAGCTAAAGAAATATAATTTTCTTACACTACATTTTCTTTATTTCAGTGCAGAGGCAACTTGATAAGCTTGTCATGTCCCAATACATACAGATATTAGTCATACTATAGAGAATTATGCAAAATGCCACTCAAAGTTGAGCTAGATAAAAAAGTGCAATGAATTATGGGACATATGTTAATTAAACTGTTCTCTTTGATTTTTGCTTCATGCTTATTTACTTTACGCAGACAACCAGAGAGCTGTTATGCTAGTATTGTATGACCTGTGAACCAGATCTGAGAGCAATAGGAATAGGATCACTCTAAGTAAAAAATAGTCTAAATGTGACACCATCATTCGCTCAGGGAATATACCACAATGAAGAGTAGGAAAGAAACAGAGTGGGGTTTTTTTTGTTTCCTCCCAAAGATCTGTTTACTGCAGCCTATTTTTGTTCACATGGCTGCTTTGAAGAGCTGTTTCCTTTGTCATCTCATGAGCATGTGCTCCTGACTCCATTTAGATCTGAACTATGAAAAATAATCCAATTACACAGAACAACATTTCCAGTTGTGTGAAATGTGGTTTGTAGTTTCATGCGAGTTTAAGGGAAAAAAGGATGAGACACTGGATTTTTAGCCACTCAGCCTACACGCTTGTGTTTGGCAACTGTACAATAACTTACTGGGCTTCAGCAGAGATAACCAGCAAGGCATTTAAACACGATCAAAAACATCACAATAATCTTATTTTTAGCATGCTGCTCACTATAAAGTTTATGGTTTGGAATGAAATAAATAGGTAAGCCGCCATACTTCATATTTGATAAAGGTACCAGATGAAGGAATAATATGCTCATTAAATTTATTTCAATAACAGTGTGTACAACAATAACATCTACTTCAATGCAATTTAACACTCGGAACAAATCCACTCAGGTGTATGGAGGTTATAGCATATGAACTGAGTAATGTCTGTGACACTGGACAAATTATTACCATCCACCCTCTCTTTAAAGGGATGACAAGCATGTTTTTGCTGTGGCTTCTGTTTTTTTTAGCACCAAAACATTATAGCACAGAATCTTCAAATGATAGTTCTGGCGGCTAGTCTGTGCTAAAGGATGAGGGATGTATCTTATTAAGAAGAACTGCAGGTTTATGAGTTTCTTGGCTGGTTTGTGGTGTGTGAATGGGTGTTGGTTCTAGACAGGGAGAGAATGACAGAGAGAAAATGAGAAACAACTAATCCATACGGAAGGTTTTGTTTGGAAAATAATTTGGTCTTTTCTTCCTTTGGAAGATTTCTTAATGAGCTCGTCTACAGATCACCGTCCGAACATGTGAGAGAGAAGACAGCACCTACGTATCTTCTGAAGAACACAATATTGCGGAGTCTGTTTCTGTAGCAGGGACTGATATTCACAAGCCCCTTGCAATCCACTGGGGGCGCTATTGTAAATGAAACCAATGAGACCTGGTTTGACCCGGATCAACTAAACCACAGCAACGCCAGCAAGTCTGATTTCCGAACCCAAGCTCAGAATCCCAATTCACTCTCCAGATGGCTTTCTTTACTAGCTGGGACTGCTGGGAGAGCTTGGATCTCATTTGCACGCATATATGCATTCTCATAACAAAGCATCCATATCTCAGGCACAGTTAATATTTTCAGTGCAGTAAATTGAACACAAGATGCCTTGGATAAAGACATTAACTAAAAAAAACCCTGTCTTACTGTGCTTGTTAAAATTATTTGGTCAACTAAAAGTGATGATTCATTCCCTTATTGATCTAAGAGATCACTTGATTCATCACAGCCTGTGGTATGTTGTTGTGAAACACAATCTCACGTGCAATAGCTGGTTCAAAATATGTGGGGAATGTGTTCTTGTGAGAATGTGATCATTCTTGGTATTAATT